AACGAAGCTTTCCTTTTTTTTATAGAATAAACTTACCTTGGAACTAAATTTAGCTGCGGCTAATGAGGGTTTAACAGCTACAGGAGTGTTGAAAAGATGCGAGGTCATTTTCTCCCTCCAATAGCGCCGTGTCCTTGTTTGAGTTTTCCATGTAGAATCATAGAGATGTACAGCTGGAAAGGGAACCTCAGGGACCATCTAGTCCAGCCCCCTGCAATGCAGGAACCGCGGCTCAAGCGGAGACTGAACGAGGGCCCAGTCGGAGGTGGAGCAGTTCCTCTTGGTTGGCTCAGCTGTTCTGCTTCCGCTAGTAACTTCTGGGAGAAGGCGTTTCCTGGGAGAGGACAGGGGTTTGGAGTGTGTGTGTGTGTTTTTCAAAGTGAAGTGTTCTGCTCTGGAAAGGCTGCTGGATTTCTCCTAGAGCGGTTTAGCGTTGGGAAAGACTCTCTAGCCGCAAAGCAGCATGACGGGCCGTCGGTATGTGAACGTTTTCAGGAAGCTTAAATTAGCTGAGTTGGGCTATTTTTACCCGTTTCTTGTTTACCAACAACCCAGAGAGAAAAGTCAGCCTTGCGATGCGATCCGGGCCGGGTGATCTCCTTCCCTTTTCCAGTTTTACTAGACTGGGGCAAACTGCAGCCCTTGCTTTCTGGAAACCGCAGGAAGGGAGAGGGCTCCTGTGTTCGAATCCTGCTCACTGGTTTCCGCAGGCATCAGGTCAGCCCCAGTGAGAGGAGGGTGCCATTGGCTCGATCCAGCCAGCTCTTCCTAGTTTCTGATATTCTGGGTGTTGGGAGATTCAGGAGGGGTAAAAGAAAGCCCTTCTTTGTGTAGCTTGTTGTTCAACTGTGGAACTCCCTCCCACAAGGGGCAAGGATGGGCAGAAACCCAGATGGCAGCTTCCAGGAAGAGAGAGCCCGCGATTGATGGTCGCTAGCCATGGTCAGAGGCAATGATGCTTCTGAACAGAAGGGCAGAGAATTGCCCTTGTGCTCGGATCCTGCGTGCAGGTTTCACACAAGAAGACCAGGACGCCAGGCTGGATGGGCCATTGGCCACTGGGTCTAGTAGCCCTCAAGAGCCCTCTCCTGCATGCATTTGTCGAATCCTTTTCTAAAGCCTTCTATTGCAGCCATCACTGTGGAAGGGAGTTCCGTAGGTTAATCATGCGCCGTGGTGCCCAAATGCTGTGTATTACCGTATTTTTTGCACCATAACACTCACTTTTTTCCTCCTAGAAAGTAAGGGGAAATGTCTGTGCGTGTTATGGAGCGAATGCCTGCGGGTGGCGGGGGAGATCTGCTGCAGTCGTGAGCAGAGGATCTATGGTTCCCCTTCCTTCCCTCCTCCGTGGTTACAAAGCATGGATCCACATGGATCCTAGGATTTTTGCATTGGGCTACTCCAAACTCACTGTCAGATCACATGTCTGTGGCCACAGCATGAACCACAAAAATCATATATCCACTATTTCGTTTAGAATATTTTTTTTCTTGTTTTCCTCCTCTAAAAACTATGTGTGTGTTATGGTCTGGTGCGTGTTATAGAGCGAAAAATACGGTAGTTCAGCAAAGTGATGAGCAGTCCAAATGGACGTCTCTGTTGAATAACACACAGTCCCCAAACCATAAAGCAGTAGAATTCTAGAATTGTAGAGTTGGAAGGGAACCCTAACGATCATCTAGACCTTCCCCTTGCAGTGCAGGAATCTAACCTGCTGAGTATGTTTTGGACGGTGTCAGGGCCGGATTTAGGTTTGATGAGGCCCTAAGCTACTGGAGGTAATGGGGCCCTTTATATGTCCGGCTGTCCTTTGTCAACAACAAATGGTCACTGTTTTTTGTATTGAATATACGCTATATGGTAATTTATGGACCTAATAGGTATCTAAAGCCATTTGCACATAACACAATATGTATTTTATCAAAGTAATTGTTGAACTGAAATACAATTAAGAAGTATATTAATAGTGAAATACAATTAAGAAGAAGTATATTAATAGTGAAATAATTATTAAGCTCTAACTTAAAATGATTTTTGATTCATAACAAACTTAATAATGCAAACACATTGGCATTTGGCAATAACAAAAGTTCCTTTAGAAACACAGTTAACAGACACTCATAATCTAGTCTCTAAAAACCAGTCTCTGTGCAACCAGTCCATGCAGAATGTAGGCACCCTATATATAGAAATGAGCAAACCAGTGATATTTTAGGGAGCAGGCGAGCAGGCGGGGCCCATGACTTACATCCTAGGAGCCTACACAACACAAAACACTGTTGCTGTATGTAGATTTTATTTTATTTATTTTTCATCATATATTTTGGAAATGTACACCCAGTTTTTTCCCCTTTAATTTTTTTTGGTGGGGGCCCAAGAGATTGGGGCCCTAAGCTATAGCTTGTTTAGCTTATACGTCGATCCGGCACTAGACGGTGTACTAGCTGGAACCCACGGGAGTTTGTAGCGTAAAATAATCTGGAGGGGGCAACAGATTGGCGAAGGAGCACACAGAGGCCGGACCTTTGCCCTTAGCTCCCTTTCTGCATCAGTTGAGGTTTGCTGGTTTCGGTCGCAAAGGTCATTTTTGAAGAGGCTGGGCAATGCCTCCCTCCTTTGAAAAGCGCTTTGTGACGTCGTCGGGTTGCATCCTGGCTGCTAGCTCCTGTCAACGTCCTGCACGGGCAGGCAGGTGCCTGTGGCGACGGCCGAGGGAGAGGGAGCAAGTTGTGAGTCACCGAATTGTGACTGTGATGGGCAGCCGTTTCTTTTAGCGTTCCTTTTTTTAGCTGCAGGAAACTCCTTCCGCCCCCACATCCGGCAACTGTTTTGCAACTCCAGCGCCTCTGGGAGAGCGTGGCAGGAGAGGGTGCTGCCCTCGTGTTTTCGTGGCTACCCTTTCTTAGCTTGCACCTCGCCTCTTGCCCTAGAGGGCTCGGCCGTTCAGATTTAGCCTTCCAGACAAGAGGATTTAGTTGCAGGAGTGCAAAATTTTGCTAAAGGGCTTTTCAAAAGGCCTCGTGGTGCAATGCAATCACTAGAGAATTATTTGTCGGTTTTGCAAATATCACTCGCGTAAGCAAGCAAGCAAATGATGGTAATATAGTCATACCTTGGGTTACAGACACTTCAGGTTGCGTTTTTTCGGGTTATGGACCGCTGAAACCTGGAAGTACCGGAATGGGTTACTTCCGGGTTTCGGCGGTCGTGCATGCGCAGAACTGCTAAATCGCGCTTTGCACATGTGCAGAAGCACTGAATCGTAACACGCACATGCGCAGACATGCTGCTGCGGGTTGCAGATTCTGTGGGTTGCGAATGTGCATCCTGCATGGATCATGTTCGCAACCCGAGCGTCCACTGTATATTGAATAAGGAAATTGTATTGTCTTTTAGCAGCAAATAATAAATACGAGACCATATAACACTGGTCCTGAAAGATCTACATTGGCTCGCAGTACGTTTCTAAGCACAATTCAAAGTGTTGGTGCTGACCTTTAAAGCCCTAAACGGCCTCAGCCCAGTACACCTGAAGGAGCGTCTCCACCCCCATCATTCTGCCTGGACATTGAGGTCCAGCTCCGAGGGTCTTCTGGCGATTCTCTCCCTGCGAGAAGTGAGGTGACAGGGAACCAGGCAGAGGGCCTTCTCGGTGGTGGCGCCTGCCCGGTGGAACACGCTCCCACTGATGGGCTGCCTTTCTCCCTCTCCGGGGAAAAGCCCCCAAGCGCCGCACACACGCTCCGCGCAGCTCTTTAAAAGGAGAGCTGAGCAGAGCCTGGGGTGCATATTTTCATATAATTCTCTCTCAATAATATGCAATCTGTAAATTTCAAATTTACTTTCCATAATTTTATCCAATCCTCAAATTGTATGTTACGGCCTGTGTCTAAAGAAAAGGACACATTCTACTCATGCAAAAACACGCTGATTCCCGGACAATCCGCGGGCCGGATTGGAAAGGCGATTGGGCCTT